TTCGAACGCAAGTCTGGCTGGGAGAATCGGTGCTGGCGTTCCCATCTCCATTGCAAGGCCCCATAGCCTTATGAATATATGGCAGTGTGCGCGATGAGAAGTCATATCTCATCTTGTATAACTTGGTATTTTCTACTGTGCTCTTTCAACAGCTGCCTTATGTTCCATAGTCAAATTGGTTGAAAACGAATAGCATAAAGGCGAAATGCATACCAATGTGCAACACGACAGGATGACATCGGCTGTTCAAAAAATGCAAAGATTTTTGCTCCTGCTCGTGCAATTTTAAAATTGGACTTTGCAAATTTGTGAAATTCCAAAAATTTGGGATCCAATCAGCATGTCTGGTCGGTGCCGCGTCTTTCCACGCCTTGGTCCGCGCAGAACGCACTAACGACACTAACGGCATTTGACTAGTAAACAAGCACATGTTATGTGCCGCCAGGTCATTCTTGGATTTTCGCACAGTTTGCTTGTTGGATATCGACGGTGATATTAAGTGCGTAGGCATGTATCGAATATTGTGCCATTTTTGGCCCTTGTTAAACATCGTCAGGATCCACAGCAATAAGACAGGCCCTCCTCCCTTAAAAAATAATTGCATGTTCGCTATTATTCTAAATCACTACACAACACGCACCAGCCGACTAAGGCGCCCATGTTCCTGACCAGTGGCTCAAGCGGGAGGCACAGGGGGTGGAATGACAAATAAGAACCCAACTTGATGGCCCGAAGGGCTTGAAAGCCTGGCCGGAGGTTGTATTAAGAGGCCCTCAAGCCGCAGGACCGGGCCCTCAAATACCAGTCAGGAAGCCATTTCCGCCGATTAAGGGTCCTTGAATTGGTGAGTGTCTTTTCGTCGATTGAGCGCCACCATTACCGAAAAGACCGCGCCGTGTCAGTATGAGCCCGGGGACCCATTTCTCAAACGGAGAAAATGGCCGGAGCCCGCGATTTGCAATGGTCGCGGTACCCGCAACATCAAGGAGCCCTGTGTCGGCCAGAGGTCCACCCACAGTGTCGAACAGGGGTACTGTGTCGGCAAGGGGCTCCGAGTCTGCCTGGAGAACATTTGCTGTGCAGGAACAGGGGAGGGTCTCCGAATGCCGGAGGTCATCTTGTGTTGGTCGGGGCCCTTCGGCAAGGAAAGGAGACATGAGAACTTATGGCAAGGGCCGATAAGGAGACAGTGGAAGGGTTCTGTACTTGTAAGGGGCACCCAGTGCCGAACGGAAGGCACTCTTTACAACTTCAGCCAATGGTTCGTTGGGCCGAATCGGAGCACTTGCGCCAGTTACTGGACCACCAGCGGCGGTAAAGAATATTGTTACGTAAATAGGGCTCCTGCGTCGATTCGGAGCCAACTTCACAGATCAGAGGGCCTCCCGATTCAGGTAGGGGACCAATTTATGATGTTTGCCTCCAATGGCCTCGGAATTGACAAGTGACGCCGCTCTCGTGTCGCCAGAACGACAAGCAGTTAGCACCAGAGGTGCGATTTTCTGCAAGTTTTTGTACGAAGTCCAAGCCAAAGTCCAAGGATGAACCAGCCGTCCGTCCAGTTTCTCCTACTCAAGTCGAAGGAAATTAGAAAACGATATTGATAAGGAATGTGTATCACGGGCTTTCGCGAAAACATCCACAATTCGCATTTCATATCGATGTCCGCTAGGCTTGATTAACGCTTAAGCTTGACGCTGACAGCGCAGTCGGGTACTGAGTGGTAACGATCGTAGCTAGGTAAGTGATGCGTATTACAGGCTCTCTTGAAAATATCAACGTTGATACCCTTTATTAAAGACACGTTTCATCCAATTTTGAAGAAAAAATCTGGTATGCCTCATCGATAGTTTGTAAATGTTCCAGAATCAAATTATTTGAAAACGTGCACATCAAATCAGTTGAGATGCAATACCGATTTGAAACAAGACAGTTTCGGCGTCCAAAAATTATAATTACTTTAAGGCCTATTTATCCAATTTCCAAATTAAACTGCACTTTTTTGGAATTCCAAAACAACTCAATCCAGTCGGCACCTCTAATTCGTATCCTAACAAGCAAGAACAGGATCGCTCCACTAGTTCAGCCAGTGTTTCGCAGAGCCGCCGACAACGTGCCAATTTGTTATGGGTTAGGACAAGTCAATAAAGCATCCAAAAGATTATCGCGAAATATCGTGGTAAATAAGACACCGTACACTCATACCATCAGAGCGCGCGGAGCGATTATGCTTGCATATTGTTTTAACACGCTGTTATTTCTAGGACATATGGCTTTGCACCAGCCTGTAGCAAGGTTGTGTTTTAGAGTGATTTATTTCTTTTTATGCCGCACTTCCGCCTCGTTTCGAGCCGCATTTTTTCGCTGCGGTCGCCTCTCTTACGGTCACCAGCACCACGCCGCATCGTCCGCCACAGCCCGAACGAGTCTCGCTCGATGCGGGACCTTGAAAACGAGCGAGAAGCCACGGGTCGGCGTGTGTCGTCAGCGGCAGATGACACGCTCACCTTGAACCGCGCGAGCCCACAAACAGCGGGGAGCAGTGCGGACCGAAGCCGGGCCAGCCGGACGCCTCGGGCGGTCTGGAACAGGACCGGCAGACGGAGGCGCCAGGCGCGGGCAGAGTTCAACGGGCCGCCCTGTCTCCTCGCCGCAGCAGCGGCTCCGGGCCGGCTGTGCAAACTCCGCGCGGCTCTATCTGGTGCACCCCGTCAGCTGGTTTGGCGCTTGATCAGCTGACCGGAGGGTGCCGGTCCAAAGTGCGTGTGGCCTTTGACCCCGGACCGGATCCGCCACGCACTCTGACGTGGTGGCTGTGGATGAATGTAGTTCATCGGTGCTGTGTGATGGTTCGGCGCCTGATGTTGGTTTAGCAATGCCAAGAAACCGTTCTTGGACGGCGTGCTGAATTACATTTTCCTTTGGCTGTAGGCGGACGTGACGACTCGTCCGTCAAGAGCATCCCATTGGAAGGACAAGCCAGACGCCCGAAGAAAAAAACCGCGAGTCGCACCTCAGCCGCTTCAGCTTATTTGACTTACTAATACGGACCGGGTCAGAGAAAAAGGACACGTTTCGTTTTTGTTTTGCGTAACAGGACGTGTTGCAAGTGTGGCTTCAGGGTCAGTTATTATTACGCGTATACGTTTTGTAAACGTAAATGTAAAACATGCATGTTCATGTTTTGTAAACATGGACAGAGGTAGTGGGAGGGCACGTGACAGCGATCCTTGGATAATAATTGACGTTAACCATATGACGTTGCCTGAAAAGAAACCAGATAAAAACACATTGGCCCTGGAAAAAACAATGAGCGTGGTTCCGGGACAGTGGGGTAGCTAAGGAAGGCTTTTGGGGCCCCGACCACTCCTTCCCTTCCCTGGAGGTGGTGGGGTGTACTGAAACCGAGGGCTCCACTACATTCATGGTTGCGGAGTTGACTTCCCCCTGGGGTCTCCAACTTCCAGACGACGTCGAGAAAAACAGAGATACCGCTGTGAAGGTCTCGTGAATAGTGCGCACCAAATTGTTTTACCTTAGGGCAAATTCGGGGGCATCAGAGGTAACGAAACATAAAAAGAATCGTTCCGATAGGTGCAGTTAAACCTATGTCAGCATGCCAATACGGATATTAAGGGTGCGGAAATAAGCACTAAGACTGTGGAGAGTCAATTCCGACCGTTCCTGTCCCCACACAATGGTCAAGTTAGAGCAGGTCACCGCTCAACATTGGTCTACCAATAGCCTACAAGAACGATGCTTTTTCACGATGTGCTTTTGACGAAGTTTGTTTTATTACCTGCAGCTGTGGGAGAAAAGCATTCCAGACACAGAAATATCATTTTGAGCTGCCCTAGAGGTCATCTTACAGACCACCAGCATGCAGAAAAACGGAGGTGCTGACCGAGCTTAAGACCAGTACAATGCTTTCCTGTGGCCAGAAATAGTGTGTTGTACGTATGCAAATACTCAAGATCGCATAGCTGTTGCCGACATTTCAAATGCCCTTTTGGCGCTTGGCGATGTGTTTGTAACAAACTGAGAACAGGCACGTTGGTGCCTGAAATTATATATAACCTCTTTCAAAAAACGGTATGGAGGTGGTTACACGCTTTGCAATCGTTCATCTAGCCTCTCCACTGCCGGTAACATAGGCAATTGACCTTGTATGACCTCATATGACCATGCATGTCCTCATGTGACCTATTGCCACCTAATCATCCATTATAAGGTCACAACATGTGTTCAGTTGAGTATTTGAATTCTGTGTCCAGCATTACCTAAAAACTGCCTTTTTTGAGTCAGTATGTGTTCTGCAGCAGGTAATTATACAGGTAGGTCATGACCTGGTCCAAGGTCTTGTGCTCTGTTGTCATATGTCGGTTGTGCATGTGAGTTAGTGATCCTTGCCTTATATGCAGGCACCAAAACTACATAGAAATGCGTTCAAATTCACATCATTTATAATAAACAGCAAATGTTGACTTGACTTCAGGTTATTAACCTCGCCTTTTCCGAAAAAAAATCTGAAATATATTTACTGCAGGTACTATCAAAGGTTATTAGCAACATCCAGACTTGCAAAGGTCGAAGAGGCCGATGAGTTTGTCAAGCGATTCAACCGTAACAGTTTCAAACTGTGATTATATGTCATGCAGTCAAACACCTGGAGGCTATCAGATTCAACAGTGCTAATCATTTTTGTTCTCTGAATTTCGTCTGGTTTGCTATTCCATAGGAAGCTTTAAAGTCCTTCCAGCTTTCCTTATGCTGAAAAGATGTCTTGGCTGGAACATCGCAGATGTAAACATCGTAGATGCACTAGTTTTGAGACTTAGAAGGCTTCATCACTATTGATATTCCAATGTGTGATGTGCTGTGTTTTCAGACCAACGAATTAAGGCAGAAACGTAGCTCAGTAACTGCATGTGAACACTAAACATGAATCTATGCTATCAGTATAGCACCCTTCTTTTAATCAAACTCAGCGCGTGCCAGCGACACATTCAACACATGCATGCCTGTTCTGTCCATTCAGTTGTATTACGCATCACACACCAGAATCAAATAACGGAGTGGACCTTTCAGCTGGAGTCTCGCTTGTCTCAGTCCGGCAGCGACCTTTGGCTCTGCGCTGGGGCACACACAACATACCTCGGGAGTGATAAGGTGTGACAGGGCTGATAAAGCAGGCGTGTGATGCGGGGAACTGATGTTACGCGACGAAGAGGCGGGAAGTACTTGCGCAACTAGACGCTCAGCCATCCACAGTGGTCTCATGGACGCAGATTTGTGTGTAAAAGTGACGTAAAATGGCTTCGCTACTGAGCAAGAAATTGGCCAAGTCTCCGCCATCTCATGCTGTTGCAGCTAGTCTCAGCTCTCTACGGTGATCCTTGTGATGATTTCCGGCGATAACGAATTGTAAAAAGTCACACTTATGCTACAAAGCGAACGCGGTGAGTCACGCCCCAGCGCACCATTGCCTCACCGAACGCTTCCAGCCTGGTATATTTTCTCGAGGCTGTGCGTGAACCCCTTCCCCGCCCCTGTCCATGCGGAATGCAGGCATAATGCCCGCATTCCGCCCCTCCGCAACATGCACGGCTGCATCCCTGCCCGTCCCGTCGTTTCCCTTCCCAAGTCCTCCTTCAGCCTGCCGCTGTCAGGCTGCCAATTCCTCCTTCAACCTGCCGCTGTCAGGCTGACAAGTCCTCTTTCAGCATGCCGTCATCAGTCTGCCAAGTCCTCCTTCAGCATGCCGTCATCAGCTGCAAGTCCTCCTTCAGCATGCCGTCATCAGGCTGCCAGCCGCCAGCGCCACCAGCGGCAGAACCGCAGCGCCGCCTAGCGACGGACTCGGTGCCGCCGCCGGCGACAGCATGTCCCGCACGCGCTCCCAGGAGCCGTTGTGGGGCTGCGGTTCGATGTCCAGCACGTGCGCCAGCACCTGGTACGTGTCGATCAGCTCCATTGGTGGCTGCCGGTAGCCATCCTTGAAATCTGGCGCAAAAAAAATAATCACAAAAACGCGTCGATTATGCGGGTGCCGTGAAGATAGCGCTACACGAGGATGCTGTCGTAGCCTTTATGGTTGAAGGCAGACGCGTGACGATAGTTTGCTCTATCACTGTCATAAACCGAAGGCGCTAAATTCCATGGCTAAATCTATCAGCTCGCCACCATATTACCATCTAGGCCTTGCCCTCTCTCTATTTCATCTAAATTGACGAAATGGCCCAGAACTTGCGCGGCGTGTGAGTCGCATTGCTGGGGCATCCCTACCAATTTAGCCGCCTTTTGTTGCTGATGGAGAAGGACAGCCTTGTGCAGGTGATGATTCTTATACGCGTCTGATAAGAGATCGCGGAATGCAGGACGAAATCCATAAATAGCATTCGAACTAATCAAGGCTCGTGCGTCATATCGCACATCACGTTCTCAGTCGGGTAAGGTGATATGACTCTGTTTTAATTGATGAACAGCTGATATTCAAAGATACCTTAGATGGTGTTGATCAGATGCTTCTTCGCGTCAATAAGGGAAACAATGTCAACTGAATATATATGCATTACTGAATGATTCGTCGAATTTAGTTCAGAAGATGCATTCAGTAATGTAATGCCGTTTTCGTGTGTTGCCATAGGGGATGATGTTACACCCAAGACAGCGACAAAACACCAACAAGAACGAGAGCAGTTGTATCAGTATATATATATATATATATATATATATATATATATATATATCTGTGGCGTTGCATAGCGAGAATAAAAACAGAACCAAAAAGGCACAGGTGTCTTCAAAAAAATTCCTTTTGAAAAGGTCCGATTCTGGTTGCGAGAGGAAGATGTACAGGTAGAGGCAGAACAGGGACGTCGTCGCCCTCATGTGTTTTGAAGGGTGTTTGGAGCGTTCAGCACGCAGAGACACTGACAGAGAATATTTGCTGGATTACCTCGATCGTGGCAGAGCCAGGGCGTTAACCATCGCAATGCTGCAACGTGAGTCCCACCACAGGATATGCTTCGCTCTAATCCTTCAGCGAGGAATACCCGCATGTCAGCACAAATATACATGTGACGTTGTTTCGCACGCATTTAGAGAACAAAGCGGTTCCTTGCCAGGCCACATATATGCGGGACGCAAGTCTACAACAGATGTCTAAAATGCTCAAGACATTTCATGTCGCGAAGTCTGTAGACTACACGATCAAATTTTATAATCGGATCGGGGTTAGTGCCCAGCCATTAGCACGAGCTGTTGAGGGTCAGCACTCGTTGGTGGGTCCAGTGGGGTCACGCACGTGATACGAACACAGAGAGCGGATTGAACCCGTGGGAGTCGAACCGAAAATTGACAGACGCATTGCCCAGGCACAGAGGTAGGCACCAGGCACAGGTAGGCATTGCCCAGGCACCAGGCACACCCTATGGTCACCGGCTGCGAAAGGGTGAGGCCCCATCAGTTCTAAAATGAAACAAAGTTAAAACCGCGTGGGGTTACGTGACCTGGCCCAGCATGTGAACGTCACGATCTGTAGACAGTGGTGGCAGCAGTGATTAGAAGTGTCACAGAAGTGATTTTTCCGTTGAAACTTATCAGTCGCACCAGTGCGGGGTGCTACCAGGCGCGCGGTGGCGGCATGACCCGCCTCAGATCTTTTGTAGCGGTGAAGCGTCTGAGGTGGACGGCCAGCCTGCCATGCCACGTCCGAATGCTGGGGGCTGAGCGCCGTCCGGATACTGGGAGCTGAGCGCCGTCCGGATACTGGGAGCTGAGCGCCGTCCGGATACTGGGAGCTGAGCGTCGTCCGGATACTGGGAGCTGAGCGTCGTCCGGATGCTGGGAGCTGAGCGCCGTCCGGATACTGGGAGCTGAGCGCCGTCCGGATGCTGGGAGCTGAGCGCCGTCCGGATACTGGGAGCTGAGCGCCGTCCGGATGCTGGGAGCTGAGCGCCGTCCGGATACTGGGAGCTGAGCGCCGTCCGGATGCTGGGAGCTGAGCGCCGTCCGGATACTGGGAGCTGAGCGCCGTCCGGATGCTGGGAGCTGAGCGCCGTCCGGATACTGGGAGCTGAGCGCCGTCCGGATGCTGGGAGCCGAGTGAGCGGCCGTGCGGCCCGACGCCGCGCCACGCTGTGCGGCCCGGTTCTCGCCGCCGCGACCGGCTGGCTCGAGGGAACGTGAGGCCTAGGAGACCTCTGGAGGTTTCAGCTGGACAGGCTGGTCTCGTGAGCACTGCCGGCACGGCTGCGGCGCCGACCTGACGGTCAGCCGGTGGGCAGTCGGAATGGGCGGCATGCGGCGGCGCCCGGCGTCGCCCAGTCGGACGCCCAGCCAGTGCAGCAGGTCGACCAGCGAGCAGGCCGACACGCCCAGCAGCAGGCCCACCGTGCCGCCCATGTTGGAGAGCAGGGTCTCCCAGGGCAGCACCAGTTTCTCGGTGTTCTGGTGGCTCGAGAAGCGGAAGCGCAGGTGCAGTGTCGTTGTCCCGGCCGGCACCGACGCGCCGTCGTCGTCTTCCACCTCCAGGTCGATATTCTCCGCGCGGCATGCCCTTAAGCACCGGCACCCGTTGGCACTGAAAAACAGCTTGTCGTCGACGAACGTCAGCCAGCGACCATCGGGGTCGGTGACGTTGCCGTCGACGCCGGTGACGTTGCTGTCGAGGCCGGTGACGTTGCCGTCAGGACCGCGCCTAAGTAGCCAGCCGCGGAGCGAGCTGGGCTGCGGCAGGGAACGACAGAGCGGCAGTGCCGCCATCGGTCCGTCCAGGTCCGGCAGCGAGGCGTGCCGGTGCGTCATATAGGGCAGCCGGCAGCCGGTGGCCGCCGTCAGCCTGCGCCACATGCATTCCAGGCGGCAGTGGCCGAGATCGTAGTCGCTGGCGTCCCGACACGGCGAAGCGCGTCTGTCCACCAGCACGCTGCTCATCGACTTTGCCACGAAGCTGGAGCGTCGTCCGTCCCGCAGCTGGGCCACAGGCACTCGCAGCAGGCTCGGGTAGACGACGTGCACCCTGGGCGCGTCGCGCGCGTGCACGAACGCCTCGTAGGAGACGCCGTCCGCCCGCCGCGCCAGGCTGGTGGCCAGCCTGATCTGCAGGTACTCGGCCCCACGCTGCTGCACGATGAGCTTCGCGTTCGGGAAGAACGTGCCGCAGCGGACCGGGTACATGAAGTGCGTTCGGTGGTCGCTACTCGGTGTAGGCACGAAGTAGTACTTGTAGCGCCAGCTGCCCAGCGTGCAGTTAGATGGCGGCGAATGGTGGCACTCGGTGAGCCCGTAGCCGATGGCGTTGCTGGAGGCTGCTGCGCGCTCGTTCTGGGGGTAGGCCAGCGTGGTGATGTTGAAGGCCTCGGCCATACTGATGACGCCGTCGGCCACCAGCTGCATGGCGTCCCGCAGTTCGTCGGGACCAAGGGGCCGGGCCGGGCAGACGGTGACCAGCGGGAACTCAGCCTCGCGCTCCAGCGAGTACGAGAACACAGGCTGGCTGCGGAAATCGCGGTACTGCCGGCTCACGAGCACCGCGCAGGCGAACACCAGCGCCAACCGCAGCACCAGCAGCGTGGCCTGGCCCGCCAGGCTCCAGGAGAGAAGCGACCAGCGCCGCCCTGTCGCTGGCTCCGATGGACGGCGGACCTCCGCCGCCATCGACGCGCCGTCCGCCTTGCTCCAGACGCCCATCGCTGGTCACTGCCCTCAGGAGCGCGCGGCTCTGCAGGGAGCGACCTTCGATCCGCCAGCGCTTCTGTTTTCTTTCCCACCAGACCGGTGTGATGGTTGATGTCGCGGTGCGCGTCGACGGCCTAGACTACGTGTTTGCGGCAGCTCTGCTGACGAATTAATCAGGAAAGCGGACCACGTCAAGAACCATGGCCGATACACTAAAGCGTAGCACCGACGAGAGTACATAGGTTTAATGCCATTTACTTACGTCAACTGCCGAAACGTTCTGCGTAGTGCGGGCTGAAAAGATCGGCAATTGAATAGCGGAGGTGTAAACGCCGGCATTTGCCTTGAGTTTGCGGAGAACTTCTTGCCATTGGCAGCGCGAGGCGACTGCGACAGTCGTAGACTAAGGCAAACAGATGTTCATTATTGCACCACAACCCGACAGCGATGGTGCAAACAAACCTAACGCCACGTGGGGCAGCCCGGAGGCATGGAGGATGACACGGCACCGCCGCTTGCGCCAACTGGAGTGCTGCCACTTGTCAGGCGCCACAAAAGCATCTGTTGCAAAAAGTCAGGAGCGGCACCCACGGCATATTTAATACCTTCCTAAAATTGGAAATCTTCAGCATTTGGAGACTCCATGACCTCCACCAGGTGGTAGACTGTGAGATGCACAGGGATCTCTAACAGCCCTAAGCAGATGAATGGCAAAGCTATCCGAAAAGCCCATTGAATTGGTTCATGACGCGAGATGAGCGGACATTTTCTCGTCGTAGGAGCAATCCAAAATGGCCGCCAGGTCGTGAACATTCGAAAGAAAAAGGTAGGAGGAATCCCTTTGTCATCCTGAGAACGCCACACATCATTTTCGCCAATGAATGCAGGAATTCATAAAAAGTTATGCGCATGATGTACGAGACAACACCCACAACTTTCCATCGTGCTCCTGTCGTGACCACCGCTGAACATGCTCTTTAGCCGTGTTCGATGGGGACGGAATCGTCTCCAAAATCCAAGGAATGAGGAAAGACGGCATCGAAGCACCTCAGGAAGTCTGACTTAAAGTGCTGTCGTGTTAGATGACAAAAATCTGCTATGTCAACTTGAGAACATATACGAATCCATGTAGTGCTTCATCTGGGAGTCTTCATATGTCGCAAATCAAGTCATTGATCTTTCCTTGCGTTTAACGAATATAAGATACCGCAGGTGGTCAAGTGCATTTGCGAGGACATAATGTAAGTAGATAAGACAATATTGTTTGGCTCATTCCACGTAAGACTGATATTCGATTCAGTAAAAGGCATGCCGCCAAAATATCAATGCAGCTATCTCTCCTTTCCCCTGGTTATCTATGAGGAATAAGGCTAACAGTACTGTCTTTTTGACATGAATACAAGGTCCGGACCCGGTTTTAAGCATCTCAGGCCGTCATATTTCTGTGTGACGTTAATTAATTCCGCGCCGACTTCTCAGCCACACCGCTTTCCTTCGTTGGAATCACTCAAATAAAAACTACACCGCACTGGCCTGAGACCTAGTCGAAACGGTGCTGTCCACCGTGAGGCAGGCGTACATCCCAAACGCAAGGTCCCTGCTGCCGCCACGTACCTGGGCCCATGGCATAGAAGATCGTCCTCATGTCGGTGTGATTGCGTGTGTACCCGTGAATGCCGCGGACCTGGTCCCAGGCACCGGCCGGGTCACGGGGCAGCGTGTTCTCCGTCTGGGGCCCCATGATGACCGTTCCTGGAGTGGGTCACGTTGTCACTGTCGCGAGACGGCTGCAGTTCGGGGGGTGTCACATGGTCTCCATAGAGAGATGTTTACTGCCCGGTGGTAGAGCGCTTGTATCGCAGCCGAGTGACAGCAGCTACCAGAAAGATTAGCGCCCTTGCGCTCTTGTTCTAAAAGCAGAGTGTATCAGGAGACCTTTCTCTCCTCCGTTGGCCTATCTCGTGAACAGTAGCCTTCAGAACGATTGCGTTTCTTTCCGTAGTACGTAATTCGTTCCGAAAGTCCAAAAACAAATTTTGCAAAACATGTCTGAGGTGCAAACGTTTGCCTAATTGCCCAACATGTCAAGCTAAGGCCAAACAATAGAAGGAGAAGGCGGCGTGAGTTTAGCGCAACTGTCCCGACAATGCGAGCACAAAATCTCACATCCAGAGACACAAGCGTGGCCAAAATACCATGCGTCCGCGTTCTCGAGTACCTTCACATCCACGTTACGGGCGGTGGCAGACTAACATGTTGCCCAGTTACGTGTAAACCTGCTTTGTTCGACACCGGTGTGGCCAGGAGCCACTCCAGCTACCTGGATCGGCCAGGACCATGATCTCGGGAATCCTGGGGTGGTCGGAGTAGTGCCACTCCTCCGGAAACTCGCCCTTGGTGTACACCGTCACGTTCGGCATTCTCTCCAGCTCCTCTAGCAACTGGCGACAGGTTGTACATGCGGTCAGTGCATGTGGTCCAACGCCTTGTGGTGCACTTGGAATTTCGCAGCATTTTAGCTCGGGACCATTATGAGGTTGAAACCGTGTCGAAACCTAGCACAATGACCAAAACTTCATCAAACCTGAAAATTTCTGATGCCTGATACGCATAAACAAGCGGGAATAATCACTAAACGCTTCTGTTTGCCGTCACGCAACTAATCCTCGTCAGCAGCTGGCAGCCGACTGTGACGATCTGGAAGAGTAGTCGCGGCACATGTTAGTGACATGCCCTGATAATCGCACCGCCGGCGATTTGAACATTTTTCTGCTGAAATGGCTCTCTGTAGCTAGAACATCCAACGCGGTAAGGTGTACCATTTTACGTTAGAACACGGACAGCACATTAGAGCCTGATGACTGCGCGGCCGGCAGCGAGGAGTGTTTCATAAAGGTGTCATGGCGCGAGCGGAATGAGCGTTGGGTTCATTGTAGGAGCCACCCAAGTTAAAAAAAAACCACGGACAGAACGATGAATACGTGGTCGGATGACACTATCTCCGCCTGAGGCGGTGAATGTCGAAACCAGCGAGGAATGATTTGGGCTCAACAGGCGGCGCGAATGGGTGGGTGTGAGCACACCACAGACAGACCATCTCCAAGTTGTGCTTAAACCTATGTCTACACTGTTAGGGGTATGGCAGTCAGCTGAAGCGTAAGTTCCCAGCTAACACCCATTTCATTAACGCGAAATGGCGCTGTCTTACCAATCACCGGAAGTTTAACTTAGCACAGGCACGCTACGTCAGCCGAGCACGTGATAGTCCTAGAGATTGTGTTTGTAGAAGTTCTCTTTCTCCTTTTCCAAGAATGAAAACAATCGCCCTTTGCAAAAGAAGCTTTTTAACCGACCATTTCCGAGGAACTGAATATCGGCACATTTACCACTTGCCTTTGGCCATAATGCCGTTAGAAAGACACCGTCGTGATTAAAGTACCATCACCTCGTCCCCGCACCACATGGTTTTCATTCCATGATCACTGCTTTACAGCGTGCTTATAGCGTGCAAAGAACGTCTGACACAACTAGTCTTTTTTAACGTGTCCGAACGTTTTGAATGGATGAATTCCTGGCAGTAGAGTTCACGTTAAGCAGTGCTTGTGTGAGCCCTCACTCCTGCCATCCGATCGCGCAGTGCCTGGCCAACGCCATAGTTTGGTGGCGAAAGTTTAACGTGTCACAATGCTCGGCACGGTCCATCCTGCCTTCTGACGTCACATGACGCTGAGTGCGGCCGCTGCTGCTCCCGCCGGAGCGGCTACTTCGAATAGAAATTCCGAGCTAGTCAGAAGGATTCCCCAAAAAGTTGTATTTCTGATCAAATCGGACACGTCTAATCTAATCTAACCATCATTCAGGTGAAAGGCAAAAATCGAAATATTTCCGTTCAAATAAACAGTGATTTCTCTGCTAGGCTAATCATCTTGGGGCCAAAGACAAAATGCTCAGTTATTCGCTGAGAACGGGGAGTCGAAATCAGTTCCTCTGCATTTAAATTTTCTGCTCGGTATGCTGCTGCCAAAGGCAAAAGTGAATCCGTCGTAAAATCAACCGTCCTACACTTTTCCCGCCTTTTTCACTTATAACTCCTCGAGTCTGACCTCATGGCCACGCAAACCAACTTTCTCCTGTTTGCGGCGCCATTTTCCACGGCACAATGGGCGAGTCGTGCCAGGGGCAATTTGCCTGAATACTCCTTTCAATGACGCTCTGGTATTCGGCTGGTGCCATGCTTATTCGAACAAGCCGTGGGACCTGCACGCCATCCTGGCCGCGTGGAAGACCTGTCTCACGTCCATGTCTCGCCAGCCAGGCAGCGGGATGATCTAGGCGAAGGCACTCCTCACGATGATGCGCTCGATTAGCAGGTCAGTCCAATCCTCACCATGTCTCGCCGGCCAGGCAGCGGAATGATCTGGGTGAAGGCCCCCCTCTCGATGATGCGCTCGGCTAGCAGCGGTGACAGGTACAGGTCCAGGTAGATGTAGTTGGTGGCGACCTGCTCTCCGATCTCTGTCATGCCGTGGTCAGACGCCATGACAAAGTTCACCTGCCGAAACAACGCCATGACGCTGATGAACACCGACAAGATAACAGCTATCATACGCTGTGCTCTATGAGATTCGTCTTGAGCAGTTGTTAAAGCTTTGCTTGCCTTGTCCAGGAGGCGTCGGCGCCGAAGTCCGTCGAAGAATGCCGCCAGCTCCTCGTCCACACCGCGGATGGCGGAGAGCATCTTCCTGCTCTCCGGCCCTTGGTAGTGGCCGAGGGTGTCCACATACTCGGCGTATACCTAAGAACAGAGCCAAGTCTCCAGCTGAGCGCACGTCATAGGAGCGTCAAGCGTCGGAACGTCACGGTAACAACTGGACGACATTGCAGCTCATGCAAAAAAAACGAAGGGTGTTAGAGCTGGTACAGTGGACTAGTGGGAATATTGTAAAGCTGCTGCAGATGCTTACACAGGTTGGCAGGAATTGTTACGCCATTAATCGGCTTATTCACCAGTCTTGTTCGCCAAGAGATTAGCGCTTCCGTCCATATCGACAATATTGCACGGCATCAATAACTACCGTTAAATGTCCGCCGGCCAGGTTTGAGACCGTTAAGTTTTGGACAAATTTTGACCTTGAATTTGGATCGCCATCTTTTGCACAAGTGATGAGCAAGGCTTCGTTACGTACGATAATCTGAAGGATTTGAGGACATCACTTATGGGGAATCGATGGTGAACGTTGGCAGGTTTCATGTTGACACGTAAGGCGGCGAAGAGATATTACCTCCTGGTATGTCTTGGGCGTCCATGACCAGGATTCGGCGAATGATAGCGTTTTTTGACTGATTATTACTTGTTGCATTGCTCCCCATATCAGAACAGCTCTCATTCTATCTGATAAAACAGCAATGTCATGGCAAAAGCGGCAAGCAAAAACAGCAGACGGATGAAATCGAATGCGGAAAATACATGAAATAACACAAAAAGTAAACCCTGGATCTCGGGTCCATTTTCGCTGCGCGCATGGACGGCAGTATTGCGGTAGGCTGGTGCCAACGAAAGCTCCTTCACGACGTATGCATAGCATTTTTGTCTCGTCTTTGTGGTGACATCGTGTTTGTGATCACCACTCCCATGTGAAACTAGCCCTGGTCTCTCTTAGACACTGGACAACGTCAGATACGCAGCAATGGTACCCAGAAGTTTGACATTTTGCCATCTGTTTGTGCCAAACGTGCCACTCGAGGAAAGCGTTCGGACGCCGTGAGCTGTAATATTGTGCGTGTTCTGACCGATGACTTCTGCACAATGACTGATCGAAGACAGGGCAAACTAACCCATCATCATCGTCGAATCCGCATCTTCACCCCAGAACATAATCTATCAAAAGGTTTGAGAAGCATGATTTCCCACCACAAACAAGGCGTACTGCGTCGGCGGTCAAACGGAAATCCTCCTTTTGTCCTCCTTTACGCTTACCAATTAATGCACGCACACTCACGCACTAGTTCTGTGCATGATGCGTGCTTAAGCCTATGCGCACATCTCGCAGAAACTGAGCCTTTTCGCTGCACGGTGGAATTAAACCGCCTCTTCTTCTTTCGATCGGTGTTACCTGACGCACCATCCACTACCGTCTCTGAACCCACTTGCGCTCAACATACCAAACCCTGTTCTTCTCTGTGTGTTCTGGGTATAACGCCTCACCAAGACGTGTCCACTTACGATAACAAACTGGAAACCTTCCTCGAGCTTCCTTAGAGCCATATTGAAGTGATCCCTCATATCTTCCCTGCTGGGAAGCTTCTCGAATCGGCGGCAGAAGGCCGGCTTCACGCCGGACACTGGCACGTCACATCTGACGGCGAAGTAAAACGCTGCTCACGCATCGGCCTCTGGGGGCGTCATGGCCGCGTGGTTAGCCTCTTCGGCTCCCACTTGCAGGGTCCGGGCTGGAGCCACGGTTGTGACATGGCTCCTGCAGCCACTAGCGCTTCATGAAAGGGTGCACGACGACGTGCGTCGCGGCCTCCTTCAAACAAAGACATTGGTTTCTGTCACGGCACGTCTGGCAGCACAGTGTCACGTGGCTCCTCACACAACGGACACAGCCGAGTCACGCTTGGTGGTACACTTTCTCCGCGTCCCGAGGAGTCGCTCGCGAAGTGGAGAGGACTGAACAGGAGGGTGTGACATCGACTCTGGGCGGCTTATGCGATCGAACCCCATGCCACTATTCGGTCGGGCGGTAGCATGTGCTGAGCGCTGCACCTTATCGGAAACAGATCTGAAGAAACAGATCTGATCTGAAACAAACCCCATATATATATATATATATATATATATATATATATATATATATATATATATATATATGGGGGTTTGAACTAAAATAGCCATCATGAAGACCTTTCGGCACTGTTCGCAATCCTGTCCTTCTTAAGACCTGTGCCCCTCTAATTCCTCAGCTAGAGGCCCACGAAAATGAGGAAATGTATATCGAGGAAAGTATTTCAAAGTCCCTTAGAATTCATGTCGTCATAATAACGTTATTCAAACCATACCATTCGGCCATGCGGCGATCAAATCAGAGCACATCACGTCAGAGCAGAGAGGTTTGACCGTCTCCAATCTTCCCACGGAGCTAGGCTGTACCAGGCTCAAGATGTCACTGGTTGGGGCAAAAGACCATTCCACTAATCATATCTGGTGATAAAAACAGCATCGTACCGGCTGATAATCATGCACGGTGGCCCACGCTTGCGCGTCCCCCAGCCATCATCATCACCGCCGCGCCATCATCATCATCATTTCCGGAACCCGACCACGCCCCGCATCACTCTCACAGGCACAGCGTCTGAGCTCCACCGAGCAGCAGTGCAGACATCGAAAGCTTCCTTCGAACTGCCAGAACGCTGCGCTGGCGCTGGTCGCCTCACCGGGAGAAACCGATGACGGCCGTCTTAACCCGCTGCCGGGTGGCCGTCGTCCAGATGGGCTCCGAGCCGGCGTTCCACCAGGCCGGCAGACCCGTCAGCGACTTGTTGTACAGCATGAATGGCCCCAGCTCGTGGTCGAAGAAGTTGTTGCCCAAGATGCCGTGCGTCTCCACCCAGCGTCCTGTCGCCAGCGGAGGCGACACAGCGCTCAGTGATGTCTTTGGGCGGGGTTGCGGTGAGGTAGATGACAAGGAATGCGAAGCAGACGTCGGTAAACTCCACTCACCCGATCCTGTGTCTGTTCATGATCTCCGTTGCGCTCCATGGCGCTGCCTGTAACCCAAGTGGCTAGCCAGTCATTTGACTAGCAATTTCGTTAGTTCCAAGATAACAAGACCAGATGTTCACATGTCCAGAGCCCGTCACACCGCACATCTTCACGCATGTCATGTAGATATAGTGCGATCGACACGTTTGTTTCTGTGATCACCTCTTCCGGCGGGTAATTTGAAGCCGGCAGGCGGCGTTTACGAACGAATAGCTTGGGTTGTCCCAGTGGCAGTACCCATGCGTCACCTATCGACCCAACTTGTTCTACTTGGCAAGCATACTGCATGTTTAACATGTAAGCACCAGCGCAATGCTTATCAGAGCTAGTGCTGGTGCCCTGTGTCCACCAAAACATATCAACAGTCCACGACTCATGGGTCTGAACTCGTGTCCGACATCACCACCTATCATGACGCAGATCAGGTCAATACACCAGTCGACGAAGGCACTACAGCGCCTTCGCACTGCTGTGAAATCCAGCTTCGGCCTCATCCGAACTGCTGCGTGGAATGAGCCCGCTGCGCCGAATAACATCATCGGTTGATCGTTATTCGGCTGCTAACCTTGCGCGTACCATGTCCGCTGCTGGGTGCAAGATGGGCAGCGGGCAGTCGGTGACAAAAGATGAACCAGTACATCTCAGCTTGATTGTCATATGACGCGCTACCACACACGTGCCCCAGCGCCATAACGGATGTAGCACATGGTGCGAATTTAACCAACGAGTTATTTGAAGATAAAGGAGACTTGTCATACACGTTAGGCCAGTAGCCGTACCACACACAAATATTGCGCGTCCAGGGAAAACGCGGTCACACTCACCTGGACTTTAGCAGTGTTTATTACTGGTTGCGGTGCTGGCTGTGGGCGTGCTGCCGTCAGCGCTCAGAAAAGCACCGCCTCAGTGAATCACAAGCTTGGCGCGAGTTCCTCCTAATTGGTGCACGCTGTTGATGTCGAAACTGCTTGGAAGCAGATTTCTGTTGACCAGCATCGACAGCCAGAATGGTTAGAGCCTACTTTACCTCGCACGTCAGAAATCGGGGCTTAAAGGCCTCCAGCGGTGGCTATGCCTTCGTTCTCATGTGCTCACATCCACAGAGCCGTGAGCACTGCTTTACCGCGATGGTGAGCGCTCGAGGCTCACTACCTACCAGCTCACTAGAGCTGTGCGTTCGTTCCCAGTTGCACTCTGCAGTGCGCTGCACTGCACCGCGCAGCAGACTGCACCAGACTGCAGCGGAGTGGGATGCCGGTAGTGCAGTGGTTAACGCGTCTGCGTTAACCCTCGCGCGTCTGAGAAGCCAGAGGTACGGGGTTCGATTCCCCGCGGCGCCCACCCTTCCTGCCAGTTTGAGGGGCAGGCGACGCCATATAGCTTCAGCAGCTGAGTGTGCCGTAAAACCCCAACAACACTGCAGCGGAATGCAGCGGAGTGTTCATGTGGGGTTGTGTGCGCCATACCCTAAAGTAAACACGCGCAATGCAAATTGATCACTTCCATGCCTGATATGCATCGAAAGACGGTATTGCATAGGCGGCGCAGGCAGACCGTTAAACGAAGATGTGCCTTATCATTGATGCGTGGGCCTGTCCAAAAAGTCCCGGTCATGGCAATACACGCCGCTCCCCCCACCCCTCCCCTCCCCATACTCAGCTAAGATCGCGAATCCACCCGTAGTGATCCTGAGCACCCAACTGAATAAAACAGATGTTATTTGGGTACATATCGCTCACTGTCTACTTGTGCTCTACGTCCTGGATGTTTTTAATTGGCTGCAAGTCGTTCATAGTCCATATGCGTACGGTCAACTGGCTTTCGCCGACTGAATACTTTGCTTTATGCGCTGTGGTGTATCCATAGTTTCTACCTTACTTCACGCCGTTAACGGTTAACGCAGATATCGCAAATGGCACCTGCAGATGTACCTATGGCTTCCACCCTTGTTGTAAGACGCTCATTGATGACGTGGCCGTTAGCCGCACCAACACTGGCCGCACGTTGGCCGTGGCCCTTCGCAGCACTCAACTACCGTTCACTGCGACAGACGGCGCCAAGCCGGTCGGTGTCTGGCAGGGACAGTCCCCAGCCCGGTGTCTGGCCGGTGTGGTCCACTGCCCGGTGTCTGGCAGGGACAGCCCTTACCCCGGTGTCTGGCCGGTGTGGTCCACCGCCCGGTGTCTGGCAGGGACAGCCCTTATCCCGGTGTCTGGCCGGTGTGGTCCACCGCCCGGTGTTTGGTAGGGACAGTCCCCAGCCCGGTGTCTGGCCGGTGTGGTCCACTGCCCGGTGTTTGGTAGGGACAGCCCTTACCCCGGTGTCTGGCCGGTGTGGTCCACTGCCCGGTGTCTGGCAGGGACAGCCCTTATCCCGGTGTCTGGCCGGTGTGGTCCACCGCCCGGTGTTTGGTAGGGACAGTCCCCAGCCCGGTGTCTGGCCGGTGTGGTCCACTGCCCGGTGTCTGGCAGGGACAGCCCTTATCCCGGTGTCTGGCCGGTGTGGTCCACCGCCCGGTGTCTGGCAGGGACAGTCCCCAGCCCGGTGTCTGGCCGGTGTGGTCCACTGCCCGGTGTCTGGCAGGGACAGCCCTTACCCCGGTGTCTGGCCGGTGTGGTCCACCACCCGGTGTTTGGTAGGGATAGTCCCTAGCCCGGTGTCTGGCTGGCACAGTCCCTAGCCAAGTGTCGGCCAGTACGGTCCACCGCCCGATGTCTGGTAGGGACAGCCCTTACCCCGGTGTCTGGCCGGTGTGGTCCACCGTCCGGTGTCTGGTAGGGATAGTCCCTAGCCCGGTGTCTGGCCAGTACGGTCTTAAGCCCGGTGCATGTTGGGTACAGTCCCAGCCCGGTGTCTGACAGGTACGATCCCCAGCCTGGTGTTTGGCCGGTACGGTCCCAAGCCCGGTGTCTGGTCGGTATAATCCCTAGACCGGTGTTTAGCAGGCACAGTCCCTAGCCCGGCGTATGACAGGGACAGCCCCTATCCTGGTGTCTGGACGGTACGGTCCCCAGCCCGGTGTCTGGCCAGTACAAGCCCAAGCCCGGTGTCCGGCCGGTACAGTCCCTAGCCCGGTGTCTGGCCGGTACAATCCCAAGCCCGGTGTCCGACCTGTATAGTCCCAAGCCCAGTGTCCGGCCTGTACTGTCCCTAGCCCGGTGTCGTCATGACCCACCGGTGGCCGCTCGACATCTCCGGCCAGGCGGCCTCAGTTGGGTTCGGACAAGAAGGGGCTACGGCAAATCCTAATCTGTCACAGCGTGCTTATTCGACACAATCAAATTCTGCTAACGATGGATCGTGGCGTTTTTCACACTGCAAACCTGCGCCCAAATGCATCTAAGCTCTAGCTTCCACTCAACATGTTCCTGTGCTGCAAAACTCCAGATTCAGGGGATGCTACCTCTCGCCGATCGCAGCAGGTGCAGTGGACGCTGCCCCTCACCGGTCAGTGCAGGTGCAGTGAACGCTGCCTCTCGCCGATCACTGCAGGTGCGGTGAATACTGCCTGTCATCGGTCACCGCAGGTGCAGCGGACGCTGCCTCTCACCACACAGTGCAGGTGCAGTGGACGCTGCCTCTCACCGGTCACTGCAGGTGCAGTGGACGCTGCCTCTCACCACCCAGTGCAGGTGCAGTGGACGCTGCCTCTCACCGGTCACTGCAGGTGCAGCGGACGCTGCCTCTCACCACCCAGTGCAGGTGCAGTGGACGCTGCCTCTCACCGCTCAGTGCAGGTGCAGCGGACGCTGCCTCTCACCGGTCACTGCAGGTGCAGTGGACGCTGCCTCTCACCAGTCAGTGCAGGTGCAGTGGACGCTGCCTCTCACCGGTTGCTGCAGATATAGTGGGCGCTGCCTCTCACCAGTCAGTGCAGGTGCAGCGGACGCTGCCTCTCACCGGCCACTGCAGATATAGTGGGCGCTGCCTCTCACCGGTCGCGATCGACGTCCAGCTGGCGTAGGAGACGGATGGGAAGACGGGGAACACGTACTCGGCGCGCACGCCGCTCGTCTCCAGCATGTGGAAGCTGCCCTCGCGGCCGGCCGGCAGGAGCTCCTGGTAGTCCCACCGGAACCTGGCCACATCCAGCCACCGACAGTGAGCTGCACTGACGCCGCCAGCCGTTTTAATATGTAACACTGGGACAGGACAAGTCGAAAGATTGCTTTTCATTTCTGATGCATCTACGTTTTGTTTTTGGAATGTCGTGCGAACAACCGAGCTTGCAAAACTCGCTACGTTACCGTCGACAATGGCGTTTTGTCATTGCCAGCATTGCCACTTTCATGCTGGCAATGGCACATTAAAATAACATTTTTGCCTAGCTCCAAGCGACCCAAGCATCACACTTCTTTGAAACCTGGAATTGTGCTTTGCGCTGTACAAGTAAATACATACCCGTCTAGAACGACAAAAACCAGAGGCTTCTCTGCGACGCACGAACCGCAGCTGACCTCCAGAAGTACCAGAGACAGCGCCAGCATCGCCACGCAGTGAGACATCCTGCCGGAGGCGGCGACACACATAGTCGTGAACCTGACGGCTTTCTTTGGAGGACCTCACCGACACCGGCGTTAAACATGTAGCGTGTAATTGTAGCCCGGGCCCTGGACCACACATTGCCGACCTGTATCAAAATAGCACTACAGCGGCACGGAGGTGGAATGCAGCCCCAGAAAGGATTTTTGGAGGTATGCCCTGAACCGTTATGCGCATAGTCGTGACACCCGAAACACCTTGACTTTAATCCCGCTTCTATAAGTCGGCCACTTGTTTCAACGTTGAATCATTAAAATTCACTGACCTGTGACTTTGTTTAAACGGTTGCTTCGTTTACACAGTTCTGCGCAATTCTGAGGATAATTAGTACACCGCAACGCAGTCCGGGCTCTGCGATACCAAACATTTTTGCGGGGGGGGGGGGGGCGTGATGATTGAAGTGGTTACCGCAGGTATGCCATACATTTTCGTGGACTTTGCCATATCGTTTGAGGTTAAGGTTGCATAAGGCCAAGTTTCGAAACTGGCGTCTCATCAGTTGTCGAACTCTTCATATCATGAACCAGAGTGCCCCAGCAAAGCCGCTGATGGTGCAAGGGTGAAGGTAAAAACCTGTCAAAGCATGTCCATATTATACAATGATGGCCATCCCTGGTCATGTTTATGGAAGGCTGTGGAGTGAGCTCATGTGACTTCAAATTATCCCCTGAAATAAAATGACCTCAAGTTTTTAGTTGTGTCAGCCTGATTCTGTGCATATGTTTGGAGCAACGCAGATACGTCAAAAGCATAGTTTTTCACCGTTTGGCCCCATGCGGCGGGGAACTCTTAAAGTTACGTAAAGACGGCGACTAGTAGATGGCGTTAATCATATGCAGGGAGTTGTATTTCTTTGACGTATGCTACAGCACGTCAGATGTAGAACTACCAAGGAGGTTATGCCATCCAACCCCCCCGCGGTGCCGAAGGCGGGGATATACCCAGCACCAGTCAGGGCACAGGGCCACACACCGCTCCCACCGAACGGCCGAGTCCGGCGCCTGGAGGCGTGACGCCCCAGGTCAGCGGCCGGGGACTTCCCACCGAACGGCCGAGTCCGGCGCCAGGAGGCGCCACGCCCCAGACCAGCGGCCGGGGACCTCACACCGAACTGCCCGGTCCGGCGCCAGGCGGCGCCGCGACCCAGGCCAGCGGCCGGGAACCCGGCGGCGCGACGCTGCGACGCCGCTGACCCCCGTGGGAATGGCATCGGCGCCGGAAGTGGAATTTTTGGCGCTCAACTGAACTGTTTGGCGCTGTATGAGAAAATGACCTCGGGCGAAGGTCCACCCTGATTTGGCGCCGGTTTTGGCGCCGCACGAGGATCGAATCGTAAAAAATGTGTGTTGTGTCTCGACGAGCAACTGTTTTGAATGACAGCAACCGTCGTTAACGTGCCACACTCAACAGCACCACTTTAACACATACCTTTTGTCACATTCGTTTGGCTTATGAGATGAGAAAGACATTGGTTGGCGTTCGCCTTGGACTTTGGCGCCGTAAGCGTCCAGAATACCTTTGTGCTAACATTAAAAACAAATTTTGTTTCTCGCTTCGGATAAAAAATTAGTTGGCATAAGCATGCATAAAGTATATAAAGTTATGCTGTCCCTATTCTAGATAATCTAACTATTAGGACGCATTCAAATGCTCTCATAGTCTTGTAGAGTAACATTTTCGATTTTCGAATTCCGAGTTTTGCGTAAAGATCCATGAGGACCATGCAACTCTCACTTGCTCTTACCACGCATCTTTAGTTTTAGGTTCCGATGCTAACGAACCACGAATCTTTCAATAAGTGAAAGAGGAGCTTGACAGCATATCAGTCCAGGGCAGTTACGTTCACTTGTGGTGAGAACAGGCCAGATATTGATATTTCCCATTTCATAAAAGATATACGTCCGGTCTGGGCGCCACCACAGCGCGTCTTCTCGTCCTCATACGACGCCATTGAGGCGGCCCAGACGCGTTTATGCTATGTTATGCCGCTTGTCCACTGGGAGCGCATTCAGAGAGCTACTTTTGGCTCCGTATGTGGAAAACATCCGAAGGTATGTTGTTGGAGTAAATAAGTGCACCTTAAAACAGCACACGGACACCCATGAAGCTTCAGCATTAAAAAGAGGATACTGAGAGCATGTTAATATGGTGCAGATCAGTCTTTCGATCGTCATAATGTGTCAGAAAAGAGTGTTTTGCATTCGCAGAAACGTGCTAAGTCCAATATGAGCGCCATTGCGGCGATTTTCTACATGCGCTCTACGATGCCGTTATGTAGTCTAAGGCGCCATCCTGTTCACTGCACACTTTCAGCGCATTCAGGAGACCTGAGGTTGGCATTGCAAGGGAAAAAACTGCGAATGCTGCTTCCATACCTCATTTTTGGACATTCTAGGCTCAGATGTTCTCTCAAAATATACTATCTTCGGGCATTCTAGACTCAGATTTTCTTTCAGATTTACTCATTCTGGACATTCTGATTGCCGTAGCAGTTTGTTGATTTTAGATTGCAACTTGTTCAGTGCATTAGCGAGGAACATTATTCACATAGGTAAGACAGTAGCATTAGCCTTATTTCTCGGAACAAACAAGAGAAAAGAGACATAATACTACTTTCTTCTGCAATTGTTTCTATAATGACATGTTGTCGAGAATCAGCCCAACTAGATTTTTCATTGTCCTGTTTTTTTTTTGTCTCCGAGGAATAAGGCTAATACTGTTGACTTACCTATGATTTTCGATTGTTGTATTAAGAGTTGTTTTTCCACAAAAGTATGGGTGCAGCACGGTTTCAACAGCCCATGTAACACATTTACCGCTATGATATTAGCTTAAGGGCAGGGGTGTAGTTGCCTATTCAAGAGGGCTTCAGCCCCCCAGCTTTAAGCATAAAGTGGGGGGAATTTCCGAGGTTATCCTGAATTTTTTTCCTCTCTAAAAGAACCCGCGCTTAAGTCCAAACAGGCTCCGTTTGAGAAATTTGGTGCCTAAAAAAGGACCTCCGCAAAGGCCTGATCTTGGATGAGGGCCCTTACACGTCCAGAGGGTATTCACGCCTCTTCAGTGACATAGCCAGGGTTTGGCCCAGGAGGGGGCTAAATTCGGGTCACAAGGGGTCCTCCAGTCAGGGGACTCCTTATCGCTTCTTCGCTTTGTTTGTTTTTTTGGCAAGCGTCTTTCTCCGGGAGTCTTGAAATCCAATCAACTCTCTACTAAGGTCCAGAAGTATTAAGACGACATCCAATGGAATAAATATCTAATAGAGATTGGGCCATAATCTGTCTATCCGGGATATTTTGCCTCAGTATCCTATTTTGATGACTCGGAACCGTTTCTTTATTTCAAAAGCCCTTTGGATGTCTTAAATTGCCAAAATTTGGCGGAGGGGCCTCGCAACCCCCAAGAGGGGAAGAGGAAAGGTATGGGTTGCCCCCACCCCGCCCCCAACCCACCCCTCACTGGTTACGCCATTGTGCTTCCTCAGGTTTAGAGCACAAAAATCACTTGAAGGCCCCTCCAGAATCGACACAAGTATGGGTAGCAGCGGAAAAGCGGTGGTTGCAGGAACCATTTAGAAATAGAGATGCTAGAATAAGGGAGGTCGCAGGGAACTCAACCTTATGAGACGGGGCCGTTGAAGGCATCGGATCCTCTTTGGAAGACTTTCAGGCTGTGCGCCTGCTCCGATCATGGAAAACTCGATATCTTTTCTTTGCTGGTTTGCCTATCTGCCAAACACCTGAGAAACGATACCGTAGGGTCGCTGGAACATCTGAAAATGATTGTGCTGGAACAAATCACATTAGAAGAATGATCAGCCTTTTGTCAAAACACGTTGAGCAACGTTGCCGCGTACAGCGACAAAGCTAGGTGCCAAAGCTTTCAGGATACTTTAAATTAACTTAACAGCGCCATTTCGCCGCATAAGGGATTCCCAGCTTTGGTGGATGCCGATTTACGGCGCCAAAAAGCGCCAAATCCACCAGGTTTCTGGAGATGGGATTTTTTCTCCCAAGCAGCTTGTAGACCACAGTGGTGCTTAGATTTCAAATAAATCGACATGACGGTAATTTTGTATATGTGTCTCACAAAATTCATGCATATCGCTTGCAAGCATATACTGTCTTCATTTCGAAAATGTGCAAATTACTGGTGGCAGCATTATCGTCTGGGGAGCCAAAATCCAGTATGTTTAATTTCTTGTCACTCCGTTGATCGCTTTTGACGCCCGATGGTAAAATCCCCGTTACAGGCAGGCACTCGCATAACTCGCCCAGGCCACCGACGGTGGCTGCCAAGGTTTTGTAGCGTGGATTCCAAGTAGCTGGCAACACAATGGGGGTCGACACCCGGCCACAGGGGTCCGACGGGCGCCAGCGGGCCGGAGGTCATGGCCTAAACGGTCCGCGGGCACTGCCAAGGACCAAGGAATCCGGCCAAGCCGGGGCAGACGTGGCCGGATAGTTGTGACAGTGTTTGGAGAGAGATGTTGCGAAAATGGCAGGAATGGAATGGTTGCCGTGGAAAAGGTAGCGCTATTTTTGACAGGCGTTAGCGAATGCTGCGGGTCGCTTACGGTGCAAAAATACGCTAGTAGAAATACAGTCCACAGTTCACACTAGTGTTCGCAACAACATGCCATTTTGTTACCAGAGTATCGTTTACCCCATTTCGTGCGTTGCTAAAAATTGCCCCAAGCATACGAGGTCACTGGAGCATTTGATGACCCTGGCAGAACATTAAATATGTAACGGCTCATCGTGAAATGTCACTACAAAATATTTGTTTTCTTGATGCATCACATGGCTTCATTCCACGCGGCTGAGACTTCACAAGACACATCTGACCCCATTGAGGGTGGGCTGGTCTCATATGACGCTGTAGGTCATCCATTCGGACCAGCACACCGACGCATTTCCCGGATGCAGCGGACATAGGATTGAGTCACTCAGCCGCACACCACTCGCGGATACCAGGCGGCCGAACCTGAACACACGGTCTCCAGACGCGCAGAGCTCGTCATGACCGGAGGTAGGCCGCCCTTGTTAGTCTATTTCACGCCGTGTGACCAATCATCATGGTCAATCAATCATGGTCAATGGATCAATCATCAGCATGTGGTCCATCAGCACCTGCACCCCAGTAATCATGAAAATTGTGAACAGGCGACAAACCTAACAACCACCTTCAGCACTTCACTGTGTGAAATTACTTGGTTGGGATTATTGATACCGTGAGGCTAATGCCCACCTATCATGAGCTTTGAAGGAACTATAACGCATAGCGAGAGGAAGTCGCCAAATGCGGCATGCACAAACCACAGATGAAGTTCGGTAGCCAGCTAAATTACAAGAGATCAGTTTGCATCGCCATCTTGGCCTGATTTACGATCTATACCAGCTACCATGACGTCAATAAAATGTACTGGGACTGATAAGCCAGTTATAATCATACACAGCCTTTTGAAGATGACAGAAGACCATGGCAACATTGTGCCATTCACGCCTCACATCTCGATTACGAGATAGGACTAGAAACTCATCCATTTCAAAACAGCAGCCCGACCTTCCACCCCTTCCTGCGGGATACGTGCTCCGCGTGATCTCTCAAGCAAACGCTTGCTGTTCAGACACATTCTCGTTCCGAAGTAACGAAGAAGGTGTATTAGGATCCCGGGCATGATGAGAACACTGGCGCCCGGGATCCTGGGCGTGATGAGAACACTGACGCTCGCACGGATCCGACTTCCGCACCACAACGGCCCGGTAAATCGTAAGGCGCTCCATCGCCGCTGCACACGCCGTAACTCTCCGGTGAGCTGGTGCTTCGGTTCGCTCCAAGATAAACCACGACAGTCAACAAATGGGAGGGGAGGAAAAAACCTAGGATGTTAAATCAGGATGGATAGATGACTTTGGGAAATTTCCAAATTTCCACTGTTTGCAGATGCGGGTCCATGGTTCTCGAAGATGGACTGGAAGATGATAAAAAAACAGTTTTTGACAGACTTTGGCCGGTATCTTCGCCGCAGCTTATTTTGGGTGCTGCTTGGAAAACCGCACCCGGCCACCCAGCTACCAAGCCTTTTCATTGTATCAAGACAGACACAAATCTCCTTCCTGCCCCTATAGCACGGACGTCGCTTCCACCTGCACAACGTATGTTGTATGTTTGTAGAAGGACACATATATGTATTGAGAGTTTTGACCTAGTGCGCGTAGCGGGCATAGTGAATAAATCTGCTGATTTGATCTGGAGCTGTTTTAGTCCCAATGCCATTGCTTTGCACTCTGGCACACGATAATTTTTCTGTTTTTTCGGAACTTCTCCGACATTTTGAAATAGCGTCTTCTTTTGGCGTGTGGCCTTTGGCTGGGAAACACTGCGTCCTGGAATAGCACCGCATGGTATGCGCCCTATCAGGGCGCGGGGTGGGCGGGGCGGTTTAGCGGGGTGGATTGAGGCGGCGTGACCTTGGGCTCAGGTTTAGAACAGGCGCTTCTGCGAAAACACCCAAAATATGTTTGCATGCATAAGTGACATCGATAGGCAACTAATGCTGATAAGTGTCACAGCCCACAGTGATCTCAAAGCATGAGATTTGGAATCCCGAGAAAGCATTGCGAATACGTCCTCCAACTCCCACCCCATGATGTCTCGCCTATGTGTTGGACAAGCCCCGACAGTAGCAACGCAGTGTTCGCCAAGCACACAAAACCACGTGCAGCATTTTTGATACGAAAAAGCCTACTGAAGTTAAGTCGCGAAATCCTGCTAGCACTCCCGAATCTGTGCGATCGGAAGCAGGGCTGCTACAACTACGACCCCGAGAGACGGAGCTCCAGCGGCGCGCGATCTGTCGCTGCTCGGCGTCATCGCACACGGCGCTCTGGCCCAGGCGGCGCCGACACACGTGACCAGCCGTGGAGCCAAACGTACCTGCGGCGCTGAGCAGGGTCGGATGGCCGCTGAACCTCAGCTCACCAGGCGGCTGGACCCGATCCACACAGCTGGCGGCACAGAGCCCCGCAGGCGGCGCGAACACAAGTGGCCAGCTGTGGAACCGAACGCACTTGTTGCACTGAGCAATGGCGGGAAGCCGCTGAACCTCAGCCCGTCCGGTGGCTGGACCCGCTCCACACAGCCGGTGTTGGCCTTGGTCTGGCCGGCCGTCGCTTCGGCCTACACTGCCCCGACTCTTCCCGGCCGACAGCGGGCACTTCGGCCGGGCCCTCTCCGGCGATCCTGTATCGTCCGCGGTCGCAACTCGGCCGGCGGCGCGGGCAAAAATAGCCCGCTCCTCTAGCAGCACCTCCTCTGCCGAGCCTAGCGCTCTCTCCCGGCCCCCGCCCTCTCCGACGCGCCGAGTTTGTCGCAGGGCACGAGGGAGCGGCACGCCGGGCGCCTCCGAGGAGGTGGGACCGTCTTGCCAGCTTTGAGGGCGGTTGAAGACGGGACTGTGGTCAGCATGACAGCCTCATGCTGGACATTCAATTACTGGGAGTACTCCAACACCTTCGTGCTGTGTGTACATAGGCAGGGGTCGACGTTGCATGATGCTTAACGCTAAAAAATGGAATACGCAAGATGTTAAAAAACGCCCATACTTGCAGTTATATACTCGTCTCCAACACTGGCTATAAACAAAAACAGACGTTCTGATTACACCTACACTTATTGAAAGTGGTCATGAAGCACTGTGTGCAGAGACACTGTGTCGAGGGGGTATATTTATATCGAAAACAAATAAAAACAAAGGTGCCCATGTTTGACTGCATAGCATGCTATGAAACTATTGGCATCCGAATTCACTGAACGATGCATTTCATGAAAAGAGACAACGCGATTCGAACTACGTGATTTGTTTCAAAGCAGCAGTTTTCCATAAACAATCACATTACTGTTGCGACAATTTTCGCACGCAAGTTTTTGCCTGAAAGGACCATGATTTTCCAAGATGTCGAAAAACACAGGAGGGTCGCAGCTGTACCGTTCGTGACTTCTTATGCGTTATACTGCCAACCATATTAAACAAAGCTGAATAGAGAAACCAACAGTGCTTTCGGAGTGCCCAGGCCCGTTTTCCTTTATATTGCTATAGCCACCATGCAAATGATCTTAACGCTCTGCTGGCCTGGTGAGAGGAGTACCTTATCTAACACTGATTTGCATTTGGCTACCGAAATGTCTCACGATCAGGGGCATATCCACAGCAAACTGCTGTTCAATGGTTCTCGTCAATGAGCGGTCAGGCTCGGGTAGTGGAGAGCAAGCAAAGCGCGAAGGAAGCAATGTAGCCATAGGAGTCCATAACACAAACTTGTATAAAACATTTAGCTAATTCCAACCATTGGAACCGCAGCAGATCGCTTGCAGGGCCACTTTTGTATCATTATTCTCGCAGCAGGCGCTATTTGGTAGCGATGCTAAAGCTTTCAGACTCCTGGCTTGAGATTGTTTAGGGTTAAACCATTCAAGGCCTGCCCAAAGGGTTCTGTAATTACATTTTGCCTCCAATGAACCAAATATTTTGATTCCAGCAAACGGCTTCCACCTCAACAAACCGCAAAAGCATGAATAGCGCACCCCTTCGCGCTTTCCCTTTCGTGTAACGTTCTGGACTAAAACGCATGGTGGAAGTACCACCACTGCGTGATAGCCCCCCTTCCCACACCGTGGTAGCCGTTAAACACGTAGGCAGCTGCAGCGTGCGCTCCTGATTCGTTTCACGCTTCCCTTTTTCGTCAGAAGCTTCCTCAACGCTGTGCCAGAACTGCAAGATCTTGGCTTAAGCAAAGTTAAGTTTTATGGGGACATCAAGACATGATGATGTCTTTAGTAGCCCCAGTCTCTTTAAAACTCCGGGACACCATGATGTGTTGGTGGCCGCTAACTGCGTTTTGTATGCACCATTGTCGTTTTTTTACACATGCAGCAGTGTATGACTTAAACCACAAGTATCACAATGCCGCGTACTTTATTCTACAGCTTTACCAGCGTGCAGAAAAGCTTGACCAGAAATTCTGACATCAAAGCTTCGAGGAGTGTAAACTAATGTGCCTTAACAAATGCTGAGATATTCTTTTTGCAATTAGCTCGTGCATGTGCCTTAAATTCTCCCTCGATTCCATTTAATCTGTAAAAACTTTTTGGGCGGCGATCCGAAATGCTGTGCCAATTTATGCTACACTTTGTATAAACTTTTTCGGACTGCAGTTGTTGCCGTGGAAGCTTTGCAACCACTCAAAGTAGCACCTGGTTATGAATGACATTTCTGGCAAAAATGTGCGTTTGCAAAAAGTTTCGGTGCTGATGACGACGATGGCTGTAGATGGCGGCTCATTATTGCGGCTAGACTGCATGAGGTATTTAATTATCTTGCATAGTCGTCTTCCCCGAAGTCATAACTAAAATTAACTGGCAAGAGTGACTTTAAATTTAAGTCCGCGTTCCGTTACACAACAAAATTTGGTAATATATGATAGCACAAGCGGCGAGGAAAACAATTTTCCAGGAACGACATCACCGTTGCATTATCTGCTCGAGACCGAGGCTCGAGCATGAAGCTCGAGCTCGAGCTCGAGCTCGAAACCGAAGGTCGTGAGCAGAAATCTCACGGCGACGAAGGTCGTGGAAAATAAGTACCGGCCAATAATGGTATGCTCTTTACCGAATCCATTTGTGTGACGGGACATGGAGATCGATTTAAAGCCATTGATCCCAGCATGCTTTGGTTACGGCATCGGAGAAGGAGACAGTGGGGAGATCACTCAAAACAGCGTTCAGTCTGGCCACACGAAGCAGCCAACACCAACGACACCATCATTATCATCAAAACTTTTTTAAAAAATTAACCACCCTGCTGTAAGTGCCATTTATCATCAAACGCTACTCTGGGTGGATGAAGAGGTTCCACATCACTAACTCCAGCCAGAACCATTTGTCCGAAAATTCCAGTCGTACCATTTAAATATCTCTTTACGCGTTGATTGGTAGCACAGTTCGGCTGTTGTTAACGTCGTTTTCCCCGACCAAAAACCACTTCGGCAAAATGGCATATGCCAAGCGCCCGAGATAACGCAAACGGAGTATCCCAGCATTTGATAAAAAGCATACACCATCAGGTCCGGAATGGTTCACCACGATATTAATCGCTGTGGAATTTCTGCCTTGAACTGTCGGACTCGGGCAGAAATTTCAACAGTGACCTTGGTTTTAGAGAATGATTTTACCGGCCACCTATGGTAAGATATACTTCCGCCCTGCGACGATGTTGCCCGCCGTCTTGCAACATGTCTTCTCCCCTATTAGTTCATTTTGTTAGCCATCTTGGCATGTGTGGAAAATATTGTCCTTGGCGGGAATGCAATAAAAACCTTTAACAAATCACGTACCTAATGGTCCTCGGCGCTTTTTTAAATAAACACCAGTAAGGTAGATAATTTTCCCAGCCGCAGGCAGAAATTCCTTTTCTCATTATTTTTCGCCTTCAAAATGACATGTGAGAGACACTGGGTCATGCTTTGTGTTGTTTAGCAGACCAAGCCCGAGAGATCTCACCACTCCCGGCGGCTTATTTTGGTCAGTATTTGTAGCAATGCGTGATGGTGGCCTCCGCTCGTGCGGGCAGTTTGCGGTTGTCTCTGTCGGCTGAGGCGGCAGGGGTGGTAAAACCTGCCGACTTGGTGGATAAGGTCGGCCACAAAAATGCATATTGGCACGCGAAGCTTGATGCCAAAAATGTTTTTGGACGGCAAACTTTGTGACAGCCAAGACAAAAAAATACAGCACACTTTGCAAAACATAACATGAGGTCTCCATACGGAGATATTATGCCTCCATAACAATGCATTTCGTCACGTAACACAAGCAAACGTTTCTGTCAAGACTCCTTACCATACTGTGCGGCACCCTGGTATCTTTTCTAGATTTTATTCCAACCCGGTGACAAAAATATCCTATGATTTTTAGCTGGTCGGCAGACACGGTGACAGGTCGGCGACAATCAGTGTATTTGCAAAGGCTCCGCCGGTCGGCCGATTTGCTGTTTTTAACAGCCGACTCTCAGTGTACCAAACTAGACAGCATATGTACTGAAAAATTTAGATATGGGGATTTATCTGCCCGCAAGGGCGTGTTTCAATTGTCTCTATCCGACTGATATGAGGTGGGCGGTGACTTTCAATGTACTGCAACTTTGCAAGTGGCATTCACACTGTAGTGTCATGAATACCTGCCTAGGATTTAATTTCTGGCCCTGTTTTCTTCGTTGGCTGTGCCGTGATTCAGCATCCTGTCCTCAGTGACGAGAGGCATTAACAGTCCAGGGCAAGCCGGCAGAATGATCCGATCAAGGTAGAAATTGGTCTGCTATTATCCAAGCCGCGTTTTCAAGACGCGCGTCACGAAAACGTTGTTGACTCACTGAAGCAGTCACAAGCGACCAGCCTTCATACATGGCGATAATAGTTCTGAGATACCACTTTATGCCATTTTTGTGCTTGTCCTCGTTGAGAATGGTTACCAGCCACATTCCCAGTGCCGCTTGCTACTGGTTCGGAATCTGCCATGCATTTTGCTGCCCTGCCTGCCTGCCTATCGAGGTCCTTCGCTTTTTTGCGGTCAAAGAAAGCAAATTCAACCGTAGATCGAGTTTAAACG